GTTCTTGGATGGCTTGGTGGAGAGAAARAGGGAAAGAGAATGCAAAAGCATAAACTAGGCTATGCTTGTGTAAATTACTCTGACATTTAATAACTCTCTACTAAAAATTCCCAAGCAAGGCTACTTCAGATATTTTAAGGTCATGTATCATTTACTGTCTAGGTCAATTTATGCATCMGCAAAAATTGCTGCAAACCTTTCTGGACAGCACTTCAAAAATACAGGTATATGTAACTGTTTTGGCTGTATTTTTTTCCTTACCAGTTTCTGTTCTGTGAGCACTTCACCTTGGAAAATTAAAGTAACRTTCTGTAATAAGTGAAGTCAGTATGATATTTCAAGGCAAGCCAAGGACAAACTTTATAACTGTGCTATCAAAATGCTATTAATAAAAGCAAAAATACACACACGATGCCTGTGTTCCCCTATGGATGGGAAAAATTATTGTCCATTAAGTTAACATTTCCGATATTCTCTCACTTTTTCCTAAGGTCCMAAAAATGGCAACAAAACATAAATCTCCTCTTGTTAACTTGTATAAACTATCTGCTATCACATAGTGCTCCATTTTAGTGAACATTCCAAGGCTTCTTAAGAGAATATATGGATGAGCAGGATTTCTGGTGGAAAATTGTCATAAAAATATTGTACTTTCATAGYTTAACTTCTGTAAAGGTGTCTTAGTTTATTTTTGGTTGGGCCCACAGGGTTATATTTATAAACACATCTTACCTTACRCATCTAAATTCTCTCCTCTGTTTTTACAGTTCCCCTCAGTGCTGTATCCAATGTTTCCATAGTTTTCCCCAGGACAATCCATGCTGCAATAAATACTATTATCTGCTTTTAACAAATGTGAAGGCAGAAATATCAGGTGAGGCAGCGCAGCAGAGAAACATCCAAGCTGGCTCTGAAGGGGCAAAGCTGTCTAGAAGATACCATATTCCCTCAGTTACATCCCTCAGTGTCCCTCTGCAATCCCTGAGCATTGCTGAGTTACCCTCTGCAGAAAGACATGATGAGACATGAAGGTACACACACTTAACTGCTCCTTTCCGAGGAGAAAACTTATTTTAAAGTACCACATAATTGTACTGAGTTTTAGAGTTTGCACCCACATCATTTTTTAGAACAAGTTAACCAAGGAAGATATATCTTGGAGAATTTGCTTCTTCACCTGGTCTCAGGTGAGCAAAATGCATAGACATATGTTTTCACTGGAGACAAATTATTTGTGTGTGTGTGTGTTTTGCTTCCTTCTTTTTCTGTGGTTAAAAAAAAATAATTTCAAAATGAAAATGTAGTTTAGGAACAAAAAAGCCCAAGACAGCTCACTTTGAAAATATCACAGAGCATTTAAAAACATACTAGAAAAAAAGCAGTATTTGTCAAATTAATTTCATTATTTATAATAACTTCCACCCTCTCACAAATCTTGATATTTTCATTGAAATCACTATTATTGATTTTCCCTTTTTYCCAGCCCTAACAAGAATGAAAGATGAACTATAACATAGAGTCACTTCCCTTTGTTAGTTATATTGATGCAATACATTAGGTRTTTTGAAAAACTCACTAATGAGACATACTCTGTCCAAGACAAAAATGTTCAGTTTAAAGCTCTGTATTCAAAGGACATTAAAAATGAGCCTTTTCCAGTCTTATTTTAAATGCTTTCATTACACCAGTGGGAAATCCTTAGGAAACTTTTCAGATCTTCCCCATTTATTTCATTTATTTTAGGTTTTGTCTCATAAAATAAAGTGAAATTTTCTCAGGCAGTATATACTACTATTAAAAACTGAACCAAGTTTATTATTAATTCAATCTCCTCCATTATTTATCCCTCTTGATTTGAAAGTAGGACTCACAACTGCAGCACTAGGAGTTTGCTGCAAGTCCCTGGAACACAGCCTCACCACAATTAGCCACTGATCCAGCTGCTCGTACCATAACAAGGGAATGCAAACTCCCTCCTCCTTGAGGCTACAGCTCCACAGAGAAACCCTCCGACATCACAGACTTCTAACACTGCATTCCTTAACTTAATAAACAGCATCAGCTCAGAGTTGAGTTCTTTAGCTGCAATAACATACACACACTGAGCTGCCAAAATGGGGTATAAGGCTTCCCAGGAAGGGCCACACCATAAAAAACGACCCCAAAATGCCCCAAATGCTTCCTGAGAGGACACACTTTAAATCATGAGCACAGCCACGCACAGAAAATTTCAATAAGGGGACAAAATGCTTCTCAGAAAGGGCCACACCGCAAGTTTACACTGCCCCAAGGAAAACACTTTCTGAGAGGGCACAACGTTAATTTAGCAGAGTGGTTACAGAGAAAGGGCTAAATGTTTCTCAGAAAGGGCCACACTGTAATGAGAAATCATCCCAGAGAAACACTTTCTGACTTTCTGAGAGGACACACCTTAGGTCTGTTGTGAGTACTAAGTTTCAGCAAGCGTCACACCTTTTTATTTTTCAATGCCCGAAAGAAATCTCTCCCCAAAACACACTCTGGTTCAAAAAGATACAAAGCTTTCATTTCAAGACCATCCCACCGTTGCCACCAATTAGATGTCACGTTCCAACTGCAGGGAACCTTGAGTTCTTTTAATATGGATAGTCAAGAACCAAATTAAACAAACTGAGACAAACTTTGTATCTGAGAACTATTTATTGGTAACAGAAAACCGTGAAGTGAGTAAATGTGCGAGAGACCTGTGACAAATATTCACATTTTATGAATGGGGTTAATGAACAATGAGCTCAGAGAAGGGAARAACTCAAAGGTGGCACTGCAAAATTTGTAACACTCAGTGAATATGACAGATGTTACTTAATTTTAATTATTGATGACAGTATTTCAGACTATGCTTGTTAAGAGAGAGAAATTTAAAAGCAGATCACTATACAGGACCCAGCTGCTAAGAGGTCACTGGGAAGTAGTAGAAGACACCAAGATTTAGTAGCACTTTCTAGTAACTGTGTCAATTTCAGTGTTTTGCATTCTCTCAAGATGTATCTACCACTATTGTAAAAAGTTTCTTCCCAGAATTTCAACGGGAAATAAGGTAACTTACATAGCGTCTATTGCATGGAGTCTAGGTAACCCATTTTTAATTAACATATTGCAAAACAGCAATCAAAAGTATCATGCACACCTTTGCCACACTTTGAGCTGATGCACATTGATATGATCACAAGGCAGTAGCAATGTTCAGATGTCTATGATGGATTTTGAAGCTCAATTCTTGACCCACTTTTTCAGTCTTATCTCTGATTTATATTTTACAGGTCTGGCATAAACAAGTTAATTACTCRAATGTCACAAATTTCTGTGATTGTTATAATATTTGCCATGTATATAATACAGTTTCTCTGTTTTATATATAGTACCTAATTCTTTTTTCCTTGTTAAAAAGGCATCTACTGGCTTTAATTACACCCATGAGAAYGGAGAACTGAAAAAACATATTGTTCGCCTGAGGCTTCAGGTGAAAAGAAAAGGTTTCATTGCTCAGGGAATCCCTCTTTAGAGACTTCAAAACTTCTTACTCCTGATCCAAGACTGAAACCCACTGCTTACCTCTTACAAATTTAGTATGATCTCAAAGTACTCCAAATAGATTAAATTCAATACCAGGCAAAAGACAAGTACACAGTAGTTCACTCCTTGACCCCATATGCCCAATAGGTACATTTCTGCTTAGAGGCTCAGGGGGGAAATATTCACCTTGTGATGCAACATACACATGTGTTTGCATTTATATTACTTAAAATAATGACGTAATATCACAGTCCCTCAGGAATCTCATGTTAATTTCTTACCTACTAAATTTAGCTTCTGTAAGCATCTCTTTGCCTCACTAGGATGAATTGGTTTATGCCTGCCTGGGTTTCACAGAATCACAGACTCAATTAGATTGGAAAACACCTCTGAAAACATTGAGTCCAACATTGAGACCAAACACCACATCACCTACACCATGACACTGAGTGCCATGACCAGTCTTTCCTAAAACATCACCAAGGACTGTGATTCCCTGGGTAGCCCACTCTAATGTTTCATCATTCTTTCTGTGAAGAAATTCCTCCTGATTCCTCCTCCGACCTAAACTTCCCTGGTGCAGTTTGAGGTAATTTCATCTTTTTGCTAGTTGCCTCAGAGAAGAGACTGACCCCCACTCTGATACTTCCTTTCAGGGAGCTATAGAGAATAAGGTCACTGCTAAGCATCCTCTTCTGCAGGCTAAACAYGCCCAGCTCCCTCAGCTGCTCCTCATAAGAGTYATTTCCTAGAYCCTTCACCAGWTTCATTGCCCTACTCTGGACTTGTTAAAGCAGTGTCCTTCCTGAAYTGGGGGGGTSCAGRRCYGGACACAGCAGTTGAGGTGCAGCCTCACCAGTGCCGAGTACAGGGRAAGAATMACTYCCCTAGTCCAGCTGGCCACACTATTGCTGATACARGCCAGGTGCCATTGGCCTRTTTGGCCACCTCGGGTGCACRCTGGCACTCGTTCAACTGCTGGTCATCATCACCSCCAAGTCCTTTTGYTGGATTTCCAGCTAGTCAGAACCCRTCTTATAYAGTTGAATGGAGCTGTTGKGGCCAGCACTTGATACTCTTAGTCTTGGCCCACCAATCCAGTGCATTCCTGCACTTCAGAACAACACTCCCCCTACGTGGGTGTCATCCCCAAATTTGCTAATGGCAGATTCGAGGCACTTCAGGCCAAGCCGATGGCAAGAGCCCGCCGGAGAGCACATCGTGCCCCTCTCTCTGCCCACGGCTGAGCTTTTCCTCGCCTCAGCTGTGGGCCGGCAGAGTTTAACCACATCCCCCCCAGAGCAGCGCCGGCCGAGCGGACCCAGCACCGCCTCAGGGCCGGGCGGGGGCGGGGCCGCAGTTCTCCGCCGCGTCCGCTCCCGCCCACTCGGCGCGCAGCCAATGGGAACTCGAGGCGCTGCGGCGGCGGCCAATCAGCGACGGCCCCGCGAGCTGCCCGGAAAATGGCGGCGCTGCCTGTGGCGGGACGGATGGGGTATCGCCGCTGCCGCGGCCGCCATGCCCGCTAGCCGGCGGAGGGGCCTCTGCCTCAGGTCCGCCGCCCCGAGGAGGCGCAGCGCCGGCGAGGAGCAGCTTACCCGGCAGCGGGCGGAGCTGCCCGCCGGGGAGGGGGCGGCGGAAGGCGGTGCGGGCCGGGGCCTGCCCGCGGGGGAGGGGCCGTGCTCGCCCCACGCTGCAGGTACGGCGGGAACCTGGGGGCACCGGCCTTGCCCGCCACCTCTCGAACCGCGGGGAGGAGGGGCTGGCGCGGTGTGAATGTCCACTCGCCCCGCTCTCGGGGAAGGTGTTGTTATTGTCAGGAGCATGTTGAGCCAGCGGGCYAAGCCGGCCAATGTACCCTGGTGCGCGTTAGGAAGAGTATTGCCTGCAGGCAAGGCAGGTGTTCGTGCCCCTCTGTTTATCCCTATGAGGCTGCATTTGGAATACTGTGACCTGTTCTGATCTCCGTTAGGAAGAGCATTGCCAGCAGGCAAGGCAGGTGTTCGTGCCCCTCTGTTTATCCCTATGAGGCCGCAGGTGGAATACTGTGACCTGTTCTGATGTCCTCAGGACAGAAGAGACGTGGAGCTCCTGTAACAGGTCCATCAGAAAGCTGCAGAGTTGGTCAGTGGTTTGGAGAATGTCTTGTGGAAGAAAGGCTGAGGGAGTCGGGCCTGTTCAGCCTCGAGCAGAGAAACAGAGGGCACATAATCGTGTATAAATGTCTAAAGGGGGGGTCCAAGAGGGTGGACCAGGCTCTTCTCAGCTGTGCTGTGCAATAGCAGAAGAAGCAGGCAGAAACTGATGCACAGAAAGATCCACCTGAACTTAAGGAACATCTTCTTTAGTGTGTGGTGACCACACATTGAGCAGCTCAACCAAAGAGGGATCCATCTGGACACAATCCTGTGCCATGAGCTCAGGGATGACCCTTCTTGAGCAGAGAGGTTGGACAAGGTGACCCACTGTGGTCACTTYYAACCTGACCCRTTCTGTGATTCCCACAGCAAATACTGAGGATAAAACCTGGCTGTGGAGGGCACTTCAGAGCAAAACGTAAGATGCTCCTCACATAATTACACCTTTAAAATTATTTCTATAGGCTTTTACATCTGTAGCATCATTTCTAAAGGYCAGGGGTGACTAGATGAGATTCATGTAGGGTGTTTAGTTCACTTACTGATCAGAGGCAGCTGGTTTTGGATAGCTATAGTCCTGCTTTTAAAAGTCCTAGCTAGAAAGGCACAGAAGAGGAAGTGTAGACAAATGTGCGTTAGGACCCAGAGTAGTTTGGAGGCCCATTAAAATAGTTCAGATCAGAGGCTGGGTGAAAGACAGAAAGCAAGCTAGAATATAAAATATTCTCTCATACACATATACATAATTTTTCTCTCAATATAAGATGTAGTCAATATTCTCTTAAGTGTAAGAATTGACATCCTTACAATCAGATGCTGAGCCTAAAGCTGTCAGGATCATGTAACGTTCTGTTATCTCTGCGGTGATGTAACTGGCAAAGCTAAGAATCCTAATCTGTATTAAAAGTCGAGTTATGAACAATATTCCTGTTGTGAGTAAAGGAATGCTGGTGAGTGTGAAYTTGATTTTTATTCCTGATGTTCCTAAAACATCTTCTTTTTCCTTGTTCTATGTTCTAATTGATTTTTGGATTTTAATAAGGATCCTCTTTGTGTTTACAGAGTCATGTTTACATAAGACACCAAAGAGATCGTTGAGTAGGAAATTCCGAATATCTACTTTCAGCTCTCCTATTAATGACACTGASACACAGCAAGAAATCTTTTGGGATTCTCATTCACCAGTTGCACCCAGACTAGGTAATACCAAAATCCAGACTTCAGGACACTTGTTTGAGGCATGCAGTGGGAGTCTAATAAAAGTTGTAGAAGATTTCTTGGAAAAAGGTTTCTTCCTCTTATAATGGTTGTTTGATTTTGTTTTCATTAAAAATCCCCAAGTTCTTCAGTATAGTGCTGAATCAAGCTCTAGTGTGTACATTTTATTTGAATTATTTGAGATGTACTGCACTTCATAAACTAAATAGATTTCAAATTTTTAAGAAGTTTGTTTGTTTTTTGTAGGCAATGAAAAAATCAAGCAGTCTACGAGTAGATGCGCAGTGGAAATTTCAGAAATTGTTAATCGTATTGCTCCTCAGGTAATTGTTGCTTTCTAAAACAGTGTTCTGTGTGTGCAGTAATCAAACAGAATAGTACTTTAAGCTTAGCCTTAGCCTCAGGTTTAACTACAGTAGTTTCATGGTAAGAGTTGGGCACATAGAAAACTTGTTCCTAAAACTGGATTGAATTAAAATTGCAAGCATAGCATTAATTGGCTGCTCTGGGAGTCACAGATGCTATAACAAAGGACACATAAAGAAACTGGCAGCAGCTCCTTTTTAGAAAAGTTTGCTTTCAGAATACAAGTTACTGCCCTTGGTCTAAGGAATACTGTTGTGTTGATTTATCCTTTATCACTCATCTGTAAAAGATAAGGATTTCTTCACATACTGGATTTACTTGGCAGTTGATTTTAAGCATTTTGAACAATCTTGATTGCTGATTTACAAGAACAAGACCCAGATGAGAGATATTCTACAGTAATATAAACATAGGAACCTTGTTTCAGTACTCTAAATAATTTTCCTTTTTACCCCAATATCTCTGCTCTTACTCTCTGATGTCTGCACTTTCAGAAAGTGAAAATAAAAGTGCTGTCGCATTTTAAGTACAAGAAGAGGATGTGTAATTCCTTAAATAGATTATAGTATTTGGCTTGCAAAACATGGTTGCTTTTTTGACAGACTGTTTAAAATATATTTACCATTCAGCATATTTGTGAGAAATTATACTAAAAGAATTGGAAAATCATCAATAAAGGATGCTACTGCCTTCCTTTTAAATAGTTACAGTTTCTTTTAAATAGTTACAGCTCTACCATAAATGTAAATAATACCAGGGTTTGCAGCTATGCTGTTTATGTTCTTTTTTTCTTAAACAAAACTAAATTTAAAAAAACCCTTAAAATTACAAGCAATAAGAAAACCTATTTAAAACTAGTAGTTAGTAGAGTTCAAATTACTTTTGCTGGCTTGCATGCAGTAATTTCCCACATCCTATTGCTCTGTCCCTCTAAAACAATTTATCACTCACTGCAATATTTTATCTCTTTCATTTCAGAATTCAAATTCAAGGCTGAACTTTGAATCTCTGAAACAACTTCATTAAGTTTCTAAATGTCACTTAATTCTGTTTAAAGACTCTTTGTAGAAATGAGTTATAGTGGAAGAAGTCAGAGGTTTTTTCTGTAAGCATACAGAATTTTTTTAAGGTCTYTAATTTGTTTATGATGCTGTTCTCTCAGCCAGCTCCTTAGTAGTATACTGAAGTGAACTAGATCACAGCTTCTAACATGARTATTTCAGATTATTTGTAAACCTGAAGTAAGTATTAGATTTGAGCACCAAAGTAAAATTCAGTTAATTTTAATTGAAGTTCCTGATTTAAATTGATATAATTAACGCAATACAATGTTGCAGTAATCTCATTTATCTTGTTTTASCTCCTATCTGTGACTTTCAACAGGTTTCATCCAGTTTAGTTTAGCAAGTTTTAACTCATCTAAGATGTGTGTCTAGTGTGATCTTTATCTGAAATCAAATTTCTAAGCATTCTAAATCTAATCATTTAGGATGAAAAAGCAGCCTGTAACGAAGGCTCCCTTTTAGGAACATGGATTGGTGAGGATGCTATTCCCTGTACACCTGGAGTAGTAAAAGGGCGAGCTAGGATAAAGTTAAGTTGTACAAGGTATGTTACACTTTTTCTTGCCCATCCATGGCAGAGCTTTCATGAAAAARGCAATGTGGTCTTTTCTGTATAGTGAACCGTGTAATTGTACATTAGCATATGGAATGCTTTTAATTGTGGACTTGTTGTGTCTTAATGGGGGTTGCATGTTGACCACATATTGCAACAGTGGGATTCAGTTATGCCTTTGTAGTTGTTAAACTAGAGAATGAACAGCTTATATGTTCATGTAATTGATCTTGGATAAACTTTTTCAGTAGCTCTGACTTTATTTTCTGTATTTTCTTTTTAATCCAGAGATCTTAAAACAAAAAATCCTGAAGAGGAACTCATGAAATTGGCTAAGGAGTTTGATAAAAATCTAGTTGAGTTAGATGCTGTTCAGGAACAGGAGAAGCTTGGTCGCAGCTTCATCCAGACCACCTCGGGGCCTTCAAGTAATTCTAAAGATGAAATAAATACGAAAAACCAGAAATCACTCCTCGATGAAGGTTCTGAAACAGATATTGCTGTGTCCCTGAAACCAGTTGGACAGAGCACTGGCATCCCTGTGGCAGAGCCCTGTCAGTCTAGCAGTCAAAAGTCTGTAGACCTTGAGGCTGAAGTAGCCCTTCGTGCTCTTTTTGACTGCTCTACCCAGAAATGCAGTGGACAGTTGAGCCAAGAGCTGTCAGGTRTTTCTTTAAATACTAGTTTTCATAAAATTAAAAGCACCGTGGAGTTGGATCACATTCCTGAGACAATTGAAGACTCACAATGTGGCATTTCAGAGGCATCTCAAAAAGATACTTTGTTTGCAGTTGGAAGCATGGACCAAACTGCACCAAAACCTGATACTGACACCTTGACAAAAAGRAATCCTTCTTATTTGAAGATGCAGTCGGTGGCCTCCACTAAACTTGCTGGAGTTGTTAATGATGACTTCGATGACTGGGATACAGATCTTTTGGCAGATGACTCTTTTGTGATGCAAATAACCCAAAATCCTGAATTGATAAATACCGAAGAACCACCACAAATTCCTGCAAATCGGATTGTGCATGATTTCASTGATGCTGGCAGAACAAAGCAAAGTAGTGGCAATTCAGTAACTCTTTTGGGTACTGGAAACAAATCTAACAGTTTGCAGTATTCACCTTTGAAACATTCTAGTAAAAACTCAAAAAATGTTATAAAATCTCTGTCTTTACAAAAGTCATGTAAGACAGAAARCTTAAACATAGAGACCAAGGCATTGCATGCCAAATGTGACATTAAGCCAGATAAAATAAATTCTGCTTGGAAAAGTGCCCAAAACAGTGATTTAAACTATACTTCTGCTTCAATGCAGTCTGAAGTGAAGAATGGAAATGACTCTACCAAGCCTAAAAGTGATGTTCTTCCTCTTTTTCCTTCAAGATTTAATCCTCATAGACAACCAGCAGGAAAACCTGGGAGTAATGCTCGTACAGTTTCCTGTCAGTCACCCAGTGTTTCTACCAATATGAAACCTAATGATCYAACCAAAGTGATTAACCAAGCTAATGCAGGTCACTCAAATCAAGTTGAAATACCAAAGAAATGTCCTCTGTTACTTGATGACTGGAATGAACCGAAATTCTCTGATGAGATATTAGATATGTTTTGTGAATCTGATAGTCTTTGGGATGCAAAYTGTGAGGATGATGAATTGTTATATCAGGTGTGTGATGATATAGAAAAGCAGACTCAGAGCCAGGATGTTAAACAAGGAAATGAAAAAACTAAGACTATACAAGGAGCCAGTATTAATTCCAGATCAAATCCTGATAACAGCTTCCCAGCACCTAAGMAAGGGCTACCTGATCTCCTCTTGGCTCAAAAAACAAATACAAAACAGGAGGCTCTATCACTAAATTATTCCTGTAGGAATTCATCAAAGGCAATGCATGGGCTGGCCACAACAGGTCATGTAGTGAACTGTAAGAACGTCTCAAATCCTCAGACTGTGATGTCGGGTCCTTCTGTGGAGTGTAAATACACACTGCCTAAAAACTGTCATCAAGATGCTTCTGAAGATACTGCAAAGACTGTTTCAGGGAAATGGTACAGGTCAAATTCTGTGCCAGCAGGAGAGATGGGTTCTGAAGTAAGTCCTGTTAGTGCAGTAAATATTTTCAGTAGCAAAGCAGTAGACAGCCCACATATCTTGTATAATGCGGCAAAGATTCCAAGTAGCAGCTCTGGTAACAAAACTTCACTTGTGCCTTCGAAGTTTAAATTCCGAAAGATTAACAGTTCTCAGGGTGGTCTTCATGTAGGGTCTGAAAATCCAGGGAGTCATTCTGGCATTGGAATTATTCCGCTGCATTTGGAAGGAAGYGAAAATCAGGTGAATGTGACTTTGCACAGCAAGCTTGACAATAAGAAGTCCCCTTTCAAGAGGCATCTTTCAGAGTCTTTTGTACAGACTACATCAGGTATTTTTGTGTTTTTCTTTATTGTGTTACTGTTAGACTGTTAATTTGTTGCCTTATTGTAGTCAGAATATCAAGAGAAATTTGTAATATATTGCAATTTAAAATAGGCTTCAATATTCATCCATTCAGTTAAGGTGTTAGTAAGTGTTCTGAGGAGAATCTACAGATTATTTTTTTGAAAAATAAAATTGTCCTGATGCATATCTTGAATTCCTGTAGTTAAGGACACCTGTTTGCATTCCACTTCACTAAATACCTCACACCCTCTCTCCATAGACATGCAGATTCCCTAGGAATCAAGTATAAGCTGATACAGATCTCAGCATACTATTTTCTGGAACTGTTACTTGAAAATACTGTTRCTTTGATGCATAAACCCCAGTTAATGATGGAACAGGGAAAGAAGGCATCAGGCTATATGGAATGCCAGTTTCTTTACATTACTTTACACCTGGAATTTGGAACCTCAAAACGCTTGACACTTTTCAGAGCTTGGCCTGTAGTGTTCTTTTCTCTGTGGCTGAAATCGAAAATGAAATACTCTTGTTTTACCATCTAAACACTAAGATGCCTTTCATCCYGAGGAGAGGTCAGTCACTTCTTTATGATGTGACCATCAGTAATATTCCATGCTCAGTGTTAACTTACTGGGGAAATGTAGAATTAGTCAAGTGCCACTCAGTCTTATTTTTACTTGATCTTGCAGCTTGGCAAAGTTTCAATCAATATGCATTCTGGTATAATGTGCCTTTAAGAGTGTCCTATACCAACCTCATTGCAAAAGCAACAGAACAATTAATTATTAAAGAATGAGTATTTTATCCGTGTTTTTTTCCCCAGCAGAGAAGCAGGTAAATGGAAAGTAGCAATTTTGGATTATAAGGAGGAAGGAATGGGAGAGTTAACTAGTCATTCTGTGGAATGTTCTGGAGAGTAAAGGAATGAAGAAAAATAGCATAGACTTTCTTTACAGATAAACAATAASTTTCCTCAAATTTTGAGGGAAAGGACATTAGCAAAAAAAATGTTAAGTGATCCTTTCAAAATCTATTTAATTTTTCAATGGACACTTTTTTGTGAGAAGGAAAGATAATCTGTTTTATTTATTTAGTTTGAATACTTATTAAAATACATTAATTATAAAAATACTTATTAAAATACTTATTAAAAATACTTATTAAAAATACATTGTAAATCTGTGCATAAAAATGGTAAAATTACTGATATGTGCAGGGAGTGTTCCTGTTGGTTTCAGTGAGTTCAGGAATTTATAGTATGGGAATTTATAGTTCTGTAACACCGTATAAAATGCTRTGCTTGGCTATCATGTTCTTGTCTCCTTTGCCAATTTTTATTGCWACTTTTGACCTTTTTTCAACCTATCTTGTTTTATTTGTGTGACACCTGTACTGTATCTGACCCCTGTGTCTATACCATCTCCATGTCCATATCTCTGCCTAACTCACTAAATTGTAGAGCCCTTTTCACTATGATAGCCTTAATTTTCTTAACCCATCACCATCTCCTGTGTTGACTCCTGATGTCATAAGGTTCACTTGAAGGGCAGCCAAGTAAAATTTCCTTGAAGCAAATGTGTGCATCCCAGTGTTTTCATTGGGAGGTAGTAATCAGGAGCACTACAAAGGTCATGCATGTTGCCCCCTTCCTGCCTTGGGGAMAGGATAGATGTGCCATTTTTAACTTGGGTGCCTGGTATGTCAAATAGTGTGCTCCTACCATAGATCTTCAAACACTGAAAACAGCGAAGTTAAAATGYATATTGAACAAACATGAAGCTCCTAATTATTTTCTTTTTTATTTACAGTGTCTATGGTAGAACAGAAAAGTAGAAAATGTTCTCAAGAAGAGATTGAAAGAAAGAAACAAGAAGCTCTTGCACGAAGRAAATCCAGAACACTGGCATTCGTTAAAGATGCTTGAACTTGGAGTTTTGTTTGTGGAATAAGCTCTTGATAAGGAAATACTGTAATTCTAGAAGACACATTTTAAACTGTTCACAGCTATTGATGGCAARCTTTTTCTGTTTTCCAATTTTAAAAGATCTGGACCTGAACCATAACTAGTACTCAGGAGGTGTTTTGTCTTAATTAAAAACTATCAGTTATACATGTGTAGTCCCAAACTACCTTCAACAAGATGAAGATTCTGCTGAGTTCACATGTTGAAATGATATAGCCTGGAAATCATGGAAGTATTGGTATATATACATAATGAAGGTGTCAATATATTATTGAGAGTGTTCTAATCWGTAAGACTCTCAAGTACACACATACTGTGAAATATTAATGCTCTCAGGTAGAAGAAGGTTTTAAAATTTTGTGTTAAATAAAGTACAATCTAGGAGACATCCAATGTCAGAAAACTAACAGAACTGAACAGGCTTTGGAAAGTGTGCTCAGTTTGTCTTCGTTACCTGAGGTATGAATTGTACATAAAGWAGGAAGAATTTAATCCAAAGGTTTTATTAGGTGCAAAAGTGTTGAGAAATATATGATGAGTTGGATTGGTTTACTGATCTGACTGAAAATTAACCCAGAAAAATGCGAATGACATGTTATATTTTTTTAATTCCTTTCCAGAAGATGTGGAAATACCTCAATTAAATTGGATCTCTTTTTTCTAAATGCGCATCACCGAACTAATTAAAAAAAAAGATAGCCTATGCTATTTTACCCAACCATGAGCAATATATAATGCACCAGGTGAAATCTCAACAACTATGTATCAGTTTAGCTATATGGTTGTACATATTTTCAAACGAGGCTGCTAAAATACAAAAACTCAATGTCATGTCAACTTAACAGGCTGATAGAATTTTTGATATGATAGATGGGYGTAGTGCTCAGACTGTAAAAACTGCCTCTGGGTAAGCTGTAAGATATTTTTCAACTGAGAAATGCTTATATGTAAACATGTGACACTATGAAAAGTGACTGTAATTTTTCTTTGTAAATAAATAACTTGGAAATGTTCTCCAAAGGTTGGAGGAAGCTTTTTGTTTCTACAGTGTGCCATTTTTGTAACTTAAAAATGTAAGTATTGTATATTTGTAATACATCATTAAACTTCTTTTTTTTTCACATGTTTCTAGTCTCTTTTTGAAAATATTACACTATAGACACTGACAAAAGGGAGTAAAATGGGCATTCCATAGGGACTTTTCCTGAAGTCCTCACTTATTAATTTCCCAGATTTCTTGATGCCTCAATTTTCTACCCTTATTGGTGGCAAAGTGTTTCCTTTGATCCATTTGAACTGGTAGATGAACTGGTTCAACACAACCTTTTGCAATTTAGTCCTGAAATACTTAACTATACTGGTTTTCAAGCTAGTGACTTTGCTTATATTAACCACTGTGSTTAGTGTCAGTTGGTTAAGGACTCAGAGCCCCAAAGCCACCAAAGACCATGCAGGTACCCAATCACTGTTAGAGTCTGTGGCTGCAGCTCCCTGCCCTGCTGCTGTTGGGAAATATATGATGAGTTGGATTGGTTTACTGATCTGACTGAAAACTAACCCAGAAAAGTGTTTTCAGCTTTTCAAAGTTCATCATAYTACCCTCAACAGATGATATAACATGAAAGAGCAAGATTTTGTTGTATTGTCAAGCCTCTGCTGGCAGTTTTCAAACAGTTTAAAAGACAGATTTGCATGTCCATATGACAGGTAAGTGCAAACCTCAAATAGTAGCTATTGGAAAAAATTTATCCAGAGAATATAATTTGCTCTTTGTATCTGAGGGATGTGCTTGTCTTGGTTTAGATTTTCCTAGAGCACCACAATCAGGTAACTTGCCAGATGCACTATTAGCCAAGAAAATGGCAATGAGAAGAGGATTCTATTATCACTATTAAATATGAGAGTTATAAAACTGATGTTTAAAGTACTGATGTGCAAGAATGTTACATATTACAGAGAAAGATRAAAGTGAGGCTTTTGCTTGGATGTTCTTAACAATCCTTCCCTCCCCAGTATGTTTCCCTAGAAACAATTCTGTGAAGAAACCAGGGTACTTTTTGTTTCCAAGGATAATTTCATTCATTATGATTTGATAAGAAGAGAGGAAGGAACTATTGTAGGTGTTGAGGTTTTTTTTTAGGAAGGTTTAATTCTCTGATGTGAAAGGACTTTTAATCAGGTTTGAAATTGGGATAACTATAAAGCCACATCTTCCTCCAGGCAAAAAAGACCTATACAAATAGTAACAACACTCTTAAATACATTCTAAATTAAATTATGACTGTCAGGTTTCATTATAAATTAATTTATGACATTTGCTTAAGCACTCATCTTCCTTTCATTCAGAGCATAGCAATTTTTTATGTCAGCAGAGCAATCAGTGAGCTTAAGTTTAAATGTAAATGGAATTCCTGTATGTCCCCATACCTAAGTATAATTTTTATTCCATAGATATTGACAGATTTCACAATGAGTGATGTTGCTTGCTAAAATCCAAGTATTATCTTTCTCAAGCAAAACATGTAGTGGATTTTTTTTTTTCTTTTAGGCAAGGCAGATGCAWTCGGGTAGAGGATCATTATTCTCCATGTCTGTATCTAAAATTCTGTGTTGTGAWATTTACAGACATACATTCACACCCCTCCTCTCCATGCTGGTGAGGGAATCACATTTACAGCATTTGGGAAATTTAGCAGTACTGGGGTTTTATTGTGTTGTATCAGATTTTCAGAGAAACCAGCACCCAGCAGCTCTTCAAATTTTGGCCTATAAGGCACAATTAATCTTGGGGCTGCACTTCAGGAATAGCAATGTAATCTTATACTATGTGTACCACTTATTACATCTAGACCTTTATACCCAGAGGAATAACATAGATGAATTCATTGATTTTATCTTCTTAAGCCTAAAAAGAGCTACAATTTTTCAGGAAAGAATAGCTGGAAGCAACAGATAGTGACCTAAATAGTAGAATTCCTAAGATAAAATAGAAGAAAATGAACACAAATGCTTCATTGTTTGAGAGCTGTATTGTCTGCAACACACTCCAGTGAATCCTGTGTTTGTGGAAGAGGCCAAGGCAGATATAATCTGTGGAGCTAAAAATGACAGCCTGAGTAAGTAGCCATCAGAGATGGAGCTAGGAAGACTGTGGAAATTGTGCTGTAAATCATAACTGCAGTATTTGTTCACAGCTCTGGTTTCTACACGTACTGGTGGTTTTTTCGGAATAGTCAGAAAAGTCCTGCCTCATAAAACACTTAAGGATATCTAATGTACTGTTCTTATGGAACTAAATATAAATTTCAGTGACAGTTGTCTGGGTATAATGTCARAATGGAGCTGGCAAACCATCAAGGGCCTGATCCTGCTCTTGCAGTGATTTCCTTAAAGCACTGGGGGTAATGGGGTGACTCAGGTGAATAAAGAATCAMGCTCATGCATTTCGTTATTGCAAGTAGCTCTTGTCTCTAGCACATAAATCTAGTAAAACAGCCTAGAATTTATCAAAAACATTGATTATGCGCATTTTCWAAGTTTTTTGGGGAAAAGGTTGCATTTGCACATACCTTTTAAAGACCACAGTTAACAGTTTTCACCTCAAACARTGTGGTTAACAGAGGTGAAGACTAAAGGACTTATAGATTTTCTTTTTAATGAAGGTTGTCTACTCTTTGCAGCTGGTGCTCACTAAAGGAAAAACTTGAATCATGTTTTAACCCAGGGAAATTAGGATCTGCAAAATAAAATCTTGTATTCTCATTGATGATGGCAAGTTAGGTGTGAGGCATTATTCCTTTYTTTTGGCTGAAGGGGAGGGGCTTTCTTACATGCCTAAAATTGAGTTTTCATTGGTCATGTTTTGCAGATTCATGGCTGTAGGGCTGAGTGTCAAAGGATATTTAAGCACCTGGGGAAATTACTCATGGGGAGTTTCACTGGTGAATTAGAGTGGTATGATAAAGAGCTCGATGAATAGTTGGTTTTGAATATCCCATTAGATACTTAGCTGTACCTTTGGCTGTTAGAGACCTGTAGAAACCACGACAGCAAAAAAAAATTAATATAGTGAGAGATAAAAAAATGTGTTCTGCAAGACTTGAGTAAGAKTTTGGAAACAGTAAATGAAGAGTTAACACTTCTGTTGTGGTTTTACCCCAGCCAGCAGCCAAGCCCCAGGCAGCCACTCACTCACTGCCCCACCAGCAGAGTTGGGGAGAGAATCGAAAAGGTAAAAGCTGGAAAATTCATGGGTTGAGAAATTCACAGATTTGAATTCCTGACTTCTTGGCTGCTTTTTATAGGCTACACTGCACCTGGATAGGGACAGGTGTTTTTGTAAACTCTTAATGCGGTAAATTAGGACAACATTAACYCAAACAGCTATTTCTTTATTGAACTTGAGTAAGTGTTAGCAATGAATAAATGACCCTGGATTTTATTCTGTTTTCCATCTTGCTGAAATTGCAGCATGCTGACTTGTACCTGTGACTTCAATGTACACCACTTATCAGAAGTGACAGCCAAACCAACAAAGACCTCAATTTCTAACATAAAATGTGAAAAGATTTCAAGATTTTCTCATTTGCAATGCCAGGTTGCCAACCAATAGTAAGAAAGGAAAAGAAAKCTGTGTTTGTTTGTGGGTTGGGAGTGAAGTCTCACCATCATTTTCTGTACAATTTTTCCTCTAGGCTGACAGAGGCTCTTTGCAGAAGCCTGCTATCTGTATCTMATATGGACTTTTTGGGAACTCCTCAGGGCTCTTTTCTTCTCCTTTTGTAGCTGTAATGCCACAATGTCTGATGGGATGGGCTGTGTAGTTCTAACTAAGCATCTTGTCCTATTAAGGTTTCAACAACAACTAGACTCCCGCTCCTTTGTGGGAGACTGGAGCAATCTAATATTTCAAATCTACATTTATTTTTAGTTAGATCTGTACCTCAGATATTTTCTAATGCATAGGTCATCCACTCCTGACATTTCAAGATGCCAAGTTTGATGTGCTAAAACTGTACAGTCTGTAATCTCTGGATGTGGAGGAGAGGGACATTTGGACTGCTGCTAAAGGATGTGTGTGGAGTGAGAACAAGTTCATATGTGCAATACAGAAATCTGCAGACCTAAACTTTTTTAACTGATGAAAAATCTGTAGAGATCAAAACAATCTTTGAAACCACTCCACCAGAGTGTCAAATCTTGACAATGTAACAGATTAAAAATGGTTTGACCAAGTGAATGTTCTCTAAKAGATAACCAGAGAGGTATGAAGAAAACTTGGAGGGTAGCCTGTGGAAAGACTTATGGAGGTGAATRGAAAGAAATTTGAAGATGGTTTAAGATAATGTCAATTGGTGTAGTCCAGGTAAAAACAGACCCTTTTTCATTTTCTTSAACAGTCTGAGACACCAACAAATCTACATAAAACATCTGTTAGGTATAAAACTGTCAAACAAGTATACATTTGGGAAATGAAAATATTCAGACATTCATGAAAGGGAGAGAGAGAGATTCTTGGAAGACATATCAGATATATTTGTCATCTCAACAATTTGCCTGTGTTCAAGAAAAAGCACGAGTAGTTTTGTGAGCATTGAAAGCAATCAAGCCTGATTTTCTACAGACTAATTAATGGAGTTTCTAAAAGATGTAGGTTCAAATTTAAGATTTTTTGGTTGAGTCCCATATCATGAGAATCCAGCATGGATTGTCTATTAAGGATGATTGTCTACCTGAGTTCTTCAGCAGATACAAGGATTTTTTTTTTACTTTCTGCTCCATTGTCTCACTCCATTTCATCAAACTTCTGAAAAATACTGATTATTTTTTTTTTTTTAGACTCTCTAAAGAGCCGACCTTTTTCTCACCCAGTCTACTCAATTAAGTTTCTCCATTCTTTTTATTTCATGGTGGTGCTGTGCCCATGATGGCCTGACCACGAAGGAGAAGCAGTTGCTTCTACCCTCCAAACCTAATTTTTGTTATTTAAAGGAAGTCTTTCAATTAATTAATAATTAATTGGTGGACAAATGATAAGGATTCATAAGACTGAGCTTTTCCTTCCTCCTACTCTGCTGCCTTTGTGTGTGCTGA